TAGAAGACTTGAGGTCAGGACCTGGTTCTTCCACTAAGTATCTGTGGGTACTTGTTCAGTTATTTCATGACAGAAAGCACCAGTGTCTTAGTCCATCCTGTGCGGTTATAACAGAATACCTGATACTGGGTAATATAAAATGAACAGATATTTACTTGGCTCCTGTTTCTAGAGGCTGGGAAGTTCAAGAGCACACTGCGGCTCTATTGAGGGCCTTGGTTCTGCTGTAACCCATGCCAGGAGGCAGAAGGCAAGAGAGCATGAGAGTCAGGGGTCAAGAGGGGCTGAGATGCCTTTATAGCAACCCACTGCAATGATAACTAACCAGTTCCTGAGACATTGAATTTAATTCTTTAATGAGGGCTGAAACCTCAGGACTTGCTTCTTTCCTTATTAGTCCCATCTCCCAATATTGTCACACTGGCTACTATGTTCCCAAAGTATGAGCTTTTACAACACATTGAAACCATAGCAGTCAGTTGGAAATAGATATCACATGATTTCTATCTCATAGGTATGATGAGAGATTACAAGTGCTGTTATGGTTTGAATGTTGTTTGCTACCCCCAAAAGTTCAAGTGCTAGAAGCTTGGTCCTCAGTCTGGAGGTAAAAGGTGATGGTGGACCTTTATGAGATGGAGCCTTGTGGGAAGTCCTCAGATCACTGAGGGCATGTCCTCAGAAGGGACCCCATCCTCTCTGACTTTCTGTTTTCAAGGTGTTATTTCTTCCTCCTACAGCTGCTCTCACTCCCATCATTTGCCACAAGGTAACAGACCCAAGAAGAGGGTCCTCTCCAGAGCTTCGCCATGCTGTTTGAACTCCAAAATTATTAGCTAATAAATCTATTTTCCTCACAGACTATTTTCCATTATCATAATAAAGTACTGCCTTTACACTAATAGAAGTAAACTAATAGAAGTACCCATATCAAAAAACTGTGAACTGTAAAAGCCTCCACATGTTGAGTTTTCTGTGCTTTCCACAGCTCTAGGACTGCTTTCTTGAGTTTCATCTTCCAGAATCAGGCACTCTGCAGGACTCACAACTGGAAGAAATGATTTCTTATTTATAATTCTTGTTTGATATTAAGAATAATAGAAATATCTAAGACTTATATAGTCTTTAGTGTGTTGCAGACAGGGTTTTAAACACTTTACAGAAATTACTGCATTTAAATCTCAAGACAATTTTACAAGGGATTTACAGAACAGGAAATGTAGGTCAACAGGGGTTAGTAACTGACTCAAGGTCATAAGGAGAGGGTATGGCCAGGATGGGTCTAGACACACTACCCAGAATTTTAATGATAGCTTCATGTGGGCACACTTAAAACAGAAAATCACATTTCATTTTCCAAATGCTAATTTTGGGGGGTTCATAATGCTCTATGTTTTATCCAATAACACACATTTAGAAAACCACACTGAATATATAATTAAAAATATGAAAACATCTTTAAACTAAAGATATTAGTATAATATTAATAATGGTAGATACTATATTAAAAACTAAGTGCTCAATAATACAGAAATAGTTTTTAAAAACATAAGCATCATTGGAAAAAACTCAGTTGTTATACCCCCATTTAAAATTATGTTCAAAAGAGTGTGTGAGAACATAGAAAGAATCCTGTTGTAATATAAAGTTAAACAAGTAACATAAAAAAAGTTTTCATAATAATATGACATCCATACATATGCAAAAGAAACATAAAAAAAGAATGAGAAAAAAGAAAAACATTTGTTGTCTGTAAGTGATCCTTAACTTCCTATTAAATTTTCTGGCTCCTGCTTGAAAAATAAGCCTATATGATTTTTTAGCATAAAAACATGATGCATTTTATTTTGCAAGTTAATGATATTTTTCCCCAAAATTATTATTTTTATCTGTCACACTTAGACTTATCTGCTACTGCATACTTGCTCTGTCAGTGATGAGAAAGAGAAATAAAAGGTACACTTGGTTCTAATTATAGTCTAAAACACAGAATTGGATAAAATGTCTAAGAATCCTTCATTCTAAGAGAAGCATGCAAACATGAGACATAAGAATGACTGAAATATTAGGAATTAATGAAGAGGAAGGAAGGAAAGAAAGAAGGAAGGAAGGAAGGAAGGAAGGAAGGAAGGAGGGAGGGAGGGAGGAGAAAGAGGGAAAAATAACAAAGAAGAAAAGATAAAACAATACATAATTCTCAACCAAAAGCTCAACTATGTAGTAGACTCAGTGTTTCTCTAAGCAGGGCCAGATAAAGCATGACCAACAGCAAAGTAAAGAGGATAGGGTTCAGAAATAGACAAGTCAATTGCTGGAGTAGGAAAGCTCTTAAAAGCAATCACAAGAGAAAGAAAGCATAAACCTAATTATCGCAGGTCTGAGGGTTTGTATAAGTTCACTCTCCCATCAGCAAAGTAGGAACCACTCTAAATTTCAAGTATGGAGGTTTAATACAAGAATTGATTGGCCAACTTGCTAAAAGGAATTGAGAGTAATATGAGATTAGTTAAATTTTCCAGAGATTGGTAATGTAAAAAGTCTCTACAACTTAAAGGGCCAGAGAGGCTAAAGAAAAAAGATAATACCCAGGGCCCTTGATTGTCGTGTGTGTGGTTGCTAAAATGGAGCAAGAGCAGGAGATTTTACTGCCCTTTCTCAGAAGGACAGTCTCCCACCACCTCATCACTCTACAGAGGCCTGACACTGCCCACTGCTGTTGCTGCCACTACTGGAACCACAGACACTATACCTTAGAGGCTTCAAGAAACTGCCATTGCTCAAGATGCCTGAGAAGAACCCTGGGGCAAACTCTTCTGCCACTCAGAAGGTCAGTGCCAGACACAGAGTTGCAGAAAGAAAATGATTCTTCCTTTCTTCTGCCTTCGATTTCCTGGGTTCTTCCATTGGTAGAACCCAACTGAAAGTCAATGGCCAACGAATCTGAGAAATGCACTGTATAAGCTCTTAACCCCTCGTGACACAGAAAGTCAGCAAACACAAGCAGCACCAGTACTAAGATCAACAGGCAAAACTGATGCTGATCTCAGGAGTCGCTGGTCATAATGCCCTTGCAGAGTGTTGGAATTGCTTTCTAAGATGCAGGTCCAAGATGATCCAACATAGGCTCAAATGCCACCATTAGAAGGATGCAAGAAAGAGGGCATAGAGGGTGTTGTTCAGTGGTAGAGTGCATGCTTAGCAAGTACACGATCCTGGATTCAATTCCCAGCACCATTTAAAAAAGAAAAAATGTACATCCTTATCCAAGTATGTAGTGCATGTGCACACGCAAGCAAGCAAGCGCACACACAAGCAAGCAAGCGCGCGCACACACACACACACACACACACACACAATCTTCTACCATTAACTCCTATTTGCCATTTTACTACTTACAAATCTTAAGAATCTTCTACAAATCTGAAAACTGAACTCGCACTGGATTCCAACATTCTCTTCTCAATTTAGGCCCAAAACATTAGAGTTTTCACCTCTCTCTCTCCATGAGACAATTTATAAAGTTACCATAATTTTGTATAGGATAAAGGAAGGAGGCAGGGTGCTTTTCTTTAATCCTATAAGTTGGTCTCATGCTTTGTTTATTTCCTCTTTATCTTCACAAAATTATTGTTTGTGATGTCAATAAATAAGAGAATGTAACCAGGCACAGTGGTGCATGCCTGTGACTCCAGCAGTTCGGAAGGCTAAAGCAGAAAGACTGTAAGTTCAAAACCAAACTCTGCAACTTAGCAAGGCCCTAAGCAACTTAGCAAGACCCTATCTCAAAATAAAAAATAAAAAAGGCTGGGGATGTGGCTCAGTGTTTCAGTTCCCCTGAGTTCAATCCCTAGTACCCTTTTAAAAGGGTGAACCAGGGCCATTCACATGTTGGATCTACACTCTACCATGGAGCTACACACCTAGAGTCCCATAAAGACGGAGACTTTGATTCTTCTGATGCTGGTATTTGAGCTTATGTAGACCGTATCTGAGTCTCACCAATTATTGAGCCTGTTTCATCATTTAGGTTTATGCTCATCATTTCTAATGTTTACATAAATATGTTTAAGGAATGCTGTCAAGGTGCTAATATGGATATATAAATAAATAGCTCACTTTTAAAATTCGTTCTCAGGATGAGACAGAGAGAATTTGAGGCATATAATAATTGAGCCAATTTTACAGATAGAAAGTCTGTAACATACATATGAAAGTGCACAAAAATAACTGTATGGGATGAATTTTAACTCCCTGGAAACTGTCTTGGCCACAACTCACTCTACCTCCCCAGAGCATCTGTTTCCTTTGAGCCACCTGAAGAGGTATTTCTCCTAGACCCTTCAGAACAACCGTGGTACAGTTATTAAGCCTGGAGGCAGGGACACATATTTTTATGATGTTTTCATAGACTAGTAGGGCTGGAAGTACCCTCTGGATATCAGGTTGCTCAGCACTTCCCAGCTGTTTCCTGTCTGGGACTCACTGGAGAGTTTTTCTGGAGATATTTATGGGAGAAGAACTCCATTCCCATCAACCACCCTCACTCAGTCCAGACCTACAGCCAGCCAGATGCTGTCCTTCTGGGTCTTCACCACACCTCAAATTCAAGAGGCAACATGAAGACCACACTAACAGCTGAGAAATTCATTCAAATTCAGCTCCATTGTATAGTGCCTCAAACTTCCTCGCCTGTAAAACAGAATAATTGCAAGAAGCCTAATACTCTATTCCTTCCTAATATTTAGGTGCTTCCTTAAGTGACTGTATCCTTACCACACACACACTCTCTTAGACAGCCAGGATGATATCCCTAATGCCTTGCATAGCTCTGGTACATGAGCAACTCTTAAATATGTATTTGTTAAATTAAAAACAATGTTGAATTTTAAAAAAATAGAGAAAGAAACATTTGTTCAGTATGGAAAAGAACTTTGAAAAATATAATTCTTTTCACTTGAGTGGAACTTCACACTTAAATACTTATTTTATAGTCAGTAAAGTAAGTATGTGTGTATACATATTATTAATTTAATTCTGAAAAGGGACTTCAGCAGATATTATTATACTCACTTTATCAGATGAAAAATAAATACAAATGGTTAAGTAATATGCCTAAGCCCCCAATGAGTAACCCCCCGTTCTTCACATGTATAAGGTGTTTTTATCTTCTCAAGCTGAGCAACGTTTTCCTTTCTCAATTTTCCACACCTTGTCTTCCAAGCAAATTAAGGAACTGAGATGGCTCTTCTGTCATGATTTGCAAGGTGCATTTTACCCAGCACCATTTTCTGCATTGTCTGCTGGCATCCAGCTCTTCTTCCTAAAAAAAAAAAAAAAAAAAACAGAGCTTTTAGAGTCTGTATGGGAGAGAGGAAAGTGTGAGCCATCCTCTGCTTTTGTAAAATGGTCCTTTATGCTTCTGGGAGGTGTTTACCTCAGGAAGAAAGGCTCCATTGCCTCCTACACAGTTCCTAATAAACTGCAGGTGATACAGTCAGTGGAACAGACCATTTGGACAAGTGACACTTTTAAGTACTGAAATATATGGTTGCTATTCAAGGACCACAAATCAGTCACAAGTAGTGAATGGAAGATTTTATTTGTTGGCCTACTTCTAATTAAGCTATCGGAAGTAATCTTTGTCTTTTACCTCCAAAACAAATCTCTAGAAATACTAGAGGAGCTGCCTTTCAATCCCCTTTATTAGACAGAGACGTTGTAAAGACAGGGAGACAAATAGAGGAGTTGGGGAGGAAGAGACAGGATGGTGAGGATTGCATTTCAACAATGTGTGGCTTCTTCAGCTATTGGAGTTTATTGCCTACAAGCTTAGATGTGGGACATTGAGAGAGCAACAGTTCTGTGATCCTGGAAAGGAAGGGAGAGGCCACTGCCAATCAGATGCAGAAGGGATGAGGTCATTCAAACACAAGAGACAGAGCAGAAGCACCAGATAAAGAAAAAATGGCTGACCCTGGGGGAAATTCTGAGCAAAAGGAGAACTTTGAGAAATGGCTATTGCTACACAAATGAGCAAAAGATGTCAAACTTATATGCTTAACAATAATTCTAGTGATTATCCCATGCTGAACATTTCCTGTATGAAGACCATTTTAATAACAATAATAACAACAAGCTCTTATGTGCCAGGCTTCTAAGAACTCTACATACATTACCTCATTCATTCCTTACAAACCAACTGATATGCATATTATTGTTACCATTTTGTGGATGAGAAAGGGAGGTAAGGAAAGTTTGAGTGACTTGGCTGAGCTCCTCAATATGTAAGTGGCTTAGTCATGACTAGGCAGCTTAATTCCAGAATGCATCCTTCTAACCCCTCACTATTGCGTCTTTCTCCCTCAATATTTCATTTAATGCAATTTCATTTAATGCATTTAATGCAATTACATTAAACAATGCAGTTAAGATGTTATCATCCCTATTTAACAGATGAGGAAACTGAAGCCCAGAGAGGTCAGTAGCTGTGCAATGTCAGATGCAGTGATGGGGTTAGGATTCAGACTAGGGCTGTCCTAATCAACAGCCCACAAACCTTCCCTGCAAGATGCCAACTGCCTAGGAAAAGGGACTGTAGATGCCATTAGGAAATGGACGAGGAAGAGCAAAGGAATGTGGTGTTCTTTTCATGTTTCAAACTTCTCAGAGCCAGGTTTGATGTGATTCTTTGACTAAAATAACTTCTATGTGCCCAAATCTCTACTCAGAAATTATGAATTTTTCCATGCAGAATGTCCATCAAAGTTTCCAAAACTAATCAGGAATCAAAGGCAACCTAATAACCTTTCCTATGATAAAAGCAGAAAGGGAAAGAAAGACAATACAGTAGTCTTCAGAACAGCTGGAGAAGAATATCTGTTCAAGGAAAGATCCTGTTTTCTGCAAACTCACACAGGGTTGGATTTATTTCAGCAGAACAACATTCCCAGAAGTCTCCTTTTTAATAAGTTGCAAAACTACTGTTCCCCAAGCTCACTCTTGGATATTCCCTACCTCAACTTTCCTTATATCTCAACTCAGAAGAATTTAGTTGGAAAATTACAAAAGAAAAGTCCAAAAATAAGTAAAGACTCCCTTAGGGGGAAAAAAACACTAATGCTACAAATTTATTTGCTTCAGAACTTTACTTTTCATTCAAGGAGCACTGATCCCCAGTAGTCAGACCAACCTAGATGAAATTATCAATTGGGAAAACTCTCTCCCCTCATCTCCCACCCTCAACACACAAAGCTTCCTGCCAAGACCCTGGAATCCTCATTCAGCCTAGAGCATCTATAAGTGCTACAAGTGTATATGTACATGGGCACATGCGCGCACACACACACACACACAACAAAGCAATACCAACACAGATCACTAAAAAATATGCTTGTAATTACATGAGCTCATATGACACACTGCCCCCATGATGGACACCTGACAGCCCATCACTCACTGACAACCAGTCCTCCAGTCCTCCAGAGCCGACAGTTCACAGGTCAATACTAACTCAGCCTCTAGTCACCTGAACTATTGGCTTCAACTTATACACATATAAAACAGCAAATTGATAGTCTAAATATACTTGGAATCTGACCATGTCTATGTCTAGTCTACCCCTGTCCTTTCCTCTACACAACCTTCTTTTCCTCCATGGCCTCTCACTCTTCTCTCCCCTTTGGCTTCAAGCAGCCTTGTTTGAGGACAGGATCCTTTGAACTTTGGACATGAGGGAGCAGCAAAGTGCCCACTTTGCCTGTGATCATATGCAGAATATGCTCAGCAGGAGCCTTTACTCTCTAGCTCGTAAAAGAGGCCTGGATCATTCTTTCCTCATGCCTGTCTTTCCATTCAGAGTGGCCCATTAGATTTTCTGTGTGTGTGACCCAGACAGTGGACAGTGAGGAAAGTCCTGGAATGATTAATGTTTCCCGGATAGCTCTGGATAGATTCATTCACATACAGTAAATCTCCCTGTCTTGCTGGTGTTAAGATGTCATCTTGGAAAGCTTAGAGTCTAACAGGCTCAGGAAGCCAAGGGTAAGTTCATCAGCAGCGAATGCTGTATTAGACACGGAAATTCCCTGAGCATTATTCCAGAGCACTATGTCTCATATCAAACCCTGGGGCTACAGAGTGGATAATTCTCATCTATTTAATTTAAGTAGTTAGGCATTCATGGTGAAGGGTAATGGTTTATATGTTTTGTGTTTTTATATATGTAAATTCAAAAGAATAATCATTCTCCAATTCCTATTCAGTTTGCTCTTCACCAAACTATGGCCTTAAGGATCAACAGTAAATCTTAACTGAGGACCGTCTTGGTGCAAGTTCCTGTGTTAAAGACCAGGAAGATGAGAAGGTATTTACTTCATGTAAGCAGTCAAGGAAAGAATTCAGGAAAATGTTGATAATTCTGGTCCAAACTAAAACTTCTAGACAATTGAAGGAAGAATGGGAGACTGGTTAATGTTAAAAATATTCAGATAAAAATGCCAATTCTATATCTACAAAGCCAAAAGTACAATGTTGCTTATTCAATTGTTTTGGCCCATGCAGATAATAAATCCAGGCTCCAGGAAACCATATAAGTAAAAAGGACCAAAATAAGTAGAAGCAAATAGAAAAGCTAAATAAATAAACGCTTGCTCTATCCACTCCATAGCACATACACAACTCATTGTTCAACTCTTTCTCTCATAAAACCTCTCCCCCCTTGATTCAATGGTATGCTTTGGTATGGTTTATCTAAGTAAATACACCTACAAGCCACTTTACATTGCTGTGTCTACCCTCACTACCATCTGGGTAGCAGTCACATGAAAACAGTTTTCTGCGTCTGCCTGTATTTGCAAGAAGACCGTGTATTTGCTTAGTAGTCCATCTGTGTTAGAAAACTCCTGTTAGATAAAGCAGAACCTCCCATTGCTCCTGGATTGGATCTCTACTGAAAGCATGCAACAGAGAGAACCCAAGAACATAGATATGCCAACTGCCCAGCCCCCAGGGGCTTCTGGTGTGAGCTCCTTTTCTACCCTCACTCCTCCCAGATGATCTCATCCAGTTCTATGATTCTTATTAACAAACTATTTCCAAATATGTGCTTCTAGCCAGGGCCACCCCTAGGGTAATTGGGACCTGGACAAAAGGTTTTTCCAATCCCCATCTATATAAACAGCTTGAGTCACCCAAAATCAGCGAGTCATTGCCATTCTGGTGGCCCAATTTCACACAATTCTAATAAAGAAAGACTCAACTGGGCAGTGGAGTGATTGCTTTGGAATGTCCCCATCCATCAGTACACTGACATTTTCAGTTGTCCCAGGCACCAGAGGGGTACCAAGAAAAGCTAGAGAGGGTGAATCAAAAGCCCAGGCCTCTGAAGCACAGGGCCTTGCCAGTAGATGCATGTCCTGGCTGAGAGAAAGCTGTCCCTAGCCAAATCTCAAACTTGCCAGAAATCACCACTTCTAAGCATATACTGTCCACCAGTCCAACTATGGCAAGTTCATACATCTGCATATATGTGCACCTTGTATATCTGTCTCTGACCTCTCTCGAGCAGGTTACCACTGGATAACTCTAATGAAGTCTCGTGGTGCCAGGATCCCCATTATCATGACAGCGGGAAAGGGGGTGACTTACCAAATGCCACTTATCAGGAATTGCATCTAAAAATATTAACGTAACTGACCTCATTCTGCCTAATATTGTGGCTGGGGGAAGGAAAGAAAGTTATGAACTCAAAAGAATCCAGGTTAAGGAAAGAAACTTCTTTTTCCCTATATGTCCAGAATTGGGACACAGTAAATGCTCTCCTGAACCAAACAGGGAAAAGCAGCCTCAATTAGAGAGAAGTATCAAAAGGAACAAAAGTTAAAGAAAGTTAAGTCTGCTATCCCCACTTCACACTGCTCCCCAAATTGTACCTCAGAAGCCAGGAAAGCTACAGCTAGGAAAGATTCACAGCTGAGAACTCTCTTCCAGACCTCTAAGGGACATGTACCCTGGCATCGAGAAGTTAAAGAAGGTCACTCCAAGGCAAAATGGAACATCACAGATTGTGATGCTTGCCCCTGTGGCTGACACTGAGTTTTTCCAGAAACCTTTGAGGACCTGGAAGCCTCAAAAAGGAAAACAGCTGCCACAGTCAAAAGAACTTCATATCATATATTCAAGTAAAATCTCAACTTAAAAAAGAAAAAAGATCTACTATTTACTTCCTCCAACAAACATTATGATCCCTATTTGCTGAATAACTAGGGTTCCTTTTGTTTTTCCAGATAAACACTATGACCTTTTCTAAGTACACATCACTAC